ACACCGCACATACCCACCACGTGCTTTGTGGTCCAGCGTTGGACGCCCGCAGGGAGAGATCGCATGGCCCGGGCCAGACTGGTCCAGTCGGTTTCCGACTCCGCCTCTGGGGTGACCGTGAGTTTCTTGCGCCACCTCTTGCGGAGGGCGGGAAGCGCCACCAGCTCTTGGATGTAGTCTGGGTCCAGTCGAGACTGCTTAACGTCCCCGATATAGAGAGCGACCAACTCAGTAAAGAAGCGAGCATTGGGTGCAATCAGTTGGTTAGAAGCCTCCAACTGATGGCGGTATGCCACTGCCCAATGATCCACTTCAACATTCCTTTTGGACCACCAAGACAGGGACGAAAAGGGCGTAGCGTGGTCAAGGTGACAATACACATGACTAGGCTCCCACGATGCTTTGGAGCGCGCAAGGGCTTCGCGGAGGGAAGAGACCAGGTCAAACTGCGCCTGTTGGGGAGTGACTCGATTATCACCAAAGGTATTGAGAAGGGCGGAAAACCCATCACACGCTATCCTTACGCGGGGTTTAGATTGGAGCGTCGGCGCCCACTGGTGGAGCAACCAGTCAACAACCATGATGCCTGCGAGCAGGCCGATCAGCTCACTCCGATAGGCGCTTTGGTCCTGGGGCAATCCGGGAGTCTGGCACCGGACAATGATGCGGTCTTTCTCCCCTTTTCTTGGGAGTAGTTGTACAGCCGCCGTTCCCAGGTCTCGCTTGTATGATCCGTCGCTTATCACGCAGAGGTGGCCAGACAGTAAGGCCTCCACCAGCCGTCCTTCATCACCGACAATCTCAAGTTCCTCGGGGGTCCATCCAAAGTACTCGTCAACTTCTGCTGATGCTGTTTCCCATGCAGTGAATATGGACGGTGGGGGAACTGGTCGCGGAGGCTGATGCTCCAGGCCCACCCCCAAAATCACAAACTCCTCTAGCCCATGCAGTGGCTGAGTTGTCACTCGGCATACATCATCTGGGAGTGGCTTGGTCCAAAAGGGAACCGACGGCGAGAGGGCTTCGGCGACGTCAAGGGCTGCCATCGGTCTTTTAATCCCAGCCGTCCTGTGAGATGTCGGCCTCATGTGGAACCTCCGGCTAGAGGAGTAGGAACCTGATTGGTGACCGTAGTGTCTCCAAGCGTGTCCATGACGGTGAAAGACGCCATGCGTTGGGGAAACCAGCCAGTTCCAGTCGTCAATAGAGTCAAACCAAGGGCCCAACGGTTGACAGAGATGATGTGAGGGGTCATCCGACTGCAGAAGTGCCCGGGTCAAGGTGTCCTGCCATAGACGCCAGTGATTCCGGTTTGGTCGAACTGTCCGCGGCCATTGATATGGGGACCGGTGGATTCCATCACGCTCTCCGCACCAAGCCGACTGGCGGATGCATCGTCCATCAGCCGTGACAATGTCGGAAACGGTGCACGCTTGAAGGAACATACAACACCAATTGAGCCATTTCAGATCGTCATGGTTCACCTCCAAATCCATAAACACTTCCACCAGCAAAGCATCACCGATGCATCGTAGTGGTAAGGCCGGAGAATCAAAGGCCACGTAGATGTCCATGTTCTCCAGTTCTTTCCCGACTCGCTTTATCCATGTATTGGAAGCCAAGACGGCAGTGTTGCAATAAGCCTGCTGAAAGACACCGAACGAAGTGCCCGTTTCGAGCTGGTGTTCTTGCAAAGCGGATTCCAGGTAGGCTCCGGTTTTTCTCTTGTTGGTCGAATGACGGAGGAGAGTCTCGATATGCTTGGAAACCTGTGAGCCGAACGGATGTGGGATGCCCAGGCCTTGGAACTTCAATGGAGCCAACACCATATCACGCGGAAAACTTCTGCA